TATCGGGAAAAAACAGATGGTGCAGTTGCAGTACCGCATAGAGAAGTAAAGGGACTTGCTTTTGACCACTACTGGAGTGGAGCAAAGATAGGATATGATCTACGATAGAAAATGGAAAAAAGTTTATTTTATACCATCACAAACTACAAAATTGTAGTTTACATACATTAACAAGCACAGTACAGTTTGTGAGGGATCTGGAATCTAAACTACGCCGAAACCTGTACTCTAGCTTTCACCCCGAAATGCCTATTCAGTCGCACCTCAAAGATACTGGGGTTGGATTTGCTAGGAAACAATCGCAGGCTGGAAATTACATTCCTGCGCTTAGTACGCCAAGAGGGCCTAATAACCAAGTAAGGACGATATGCCGCCGTACGTCTGGACGTCTGATGGTAAAGGGGGCGGGCGAGATGAGCTGATGGAGTTTTCAATCTCATAGGTTTGAGGTGCTAGCGACGCCTGAGATTATAAAATTAACAAGTCACATGAGCCTGTAGTTTCACCTGCAGCCACTGCCCTTAAAACCGAAACGCAGTAATGCTCATGTCACTGATGGCAGGAAACTGGTACAGTAGCAGTGTTTCCTTGAACGAATTCTTATTAACTAGTTGCTTCTATTAAAATTTTCCAAAATATATCAAAGTTTTTTCTGGTATTAATATATCACGCCTGTCCATAACAGTTGTAAAGATCTGAGGGGCACTGCCACTGCGCCCATCACCTTAAGACGTAATTTCAAAAGTCTGATGTAATTTCATTAGCACCCGTGCCCTTCAAAACCGGAACGCAGTAATGCTCGCATTACTGCTTGGCGGCAGAAAATAACGTCGTTTGTATGCTGTCCCATAAATACTTAATTTAGGTGGAACATTTTCTTCAAATTTGGATGGAACCATTATAGAGGTAACCCCATTTTAACAAAAAGAGAATCATCGCAGTCCGTTCACAAATGTCGAAGTAATCGGGTACATACACACGCATTTTAGAAGCAGTAGAGCTCTTCGTGAAAGAGATCATCTAGGGAAGTACTGCCTCATCTATTTCTGCCGCCAAGCAGTAATATTATTATAACAAATTACACTAAAGGTGTAATTAAAATAACGGATAACTCACATATTTAAGTCGTCGAGTCAATTTTTGCTCGACGTGTTTTGAACCAATTCGTGGTCCTTAATCATAAGATTCCGCGGCGGTGTCTCGATAGAAACTCAAACTGTTTCCGTCAGAATTTATCCGTTATTTTAGTTAATATGTCTGAGTCTCACAGTGGTTTCTATTTAAAATATATTAAAAGGCCTGTCTAAAGAGATCATCCAGGGAAGTACTGCCACCTCATCTATTTCTGCCGCCAAGCAGTAATGTTATAACAAACGTTAGATATAATCATTACCCAACTTAATGAATTAATTACCTATATATTAAATATAATATTTATATATATTAAATAAATAATGTAATACGTTACGTCGTTACAAATACTTGAAGCGCCTAGGCTAATAAATTAGCAATTGTATCTATTAGTCAACATTCTGCAATTAAGTACACTTGTACTTAATTGCACAATGAAGATTAATACTGCCATTTCGCCGGCTGCTGCCGCGGCATGCTCGCTTCTCTCGATCGGCTCACGCACTGTTTTGGTCGCAGATTTAACCTAGAGGATGTAAAAGTTCTATTAACTCTAGTTTCAATTGCAGTAGAGCTCCTTGTTCTGCCGCCAAACTGTAATATGAGCATTATTGCGTTCCGGTGTTGAAGGGTAAGGGTGCTGGTGAAATTACACGCAAATGGGACTTGTCAACTTATGTCTCAGGGTGACGAGCGTAATGGCAGTGCCATTCAGACCTTTGCGAGTTAAGGCTACAAATATTATTTCCAAAATGATTAACTTAACACTTTCACTGTTATGCTGAATCAACCAAAGCCATTATTTGAAGTTGTATCGACTGCTAAGCTGTGATAGTAGCTGAAGTAAAGCAATCTAGCGACCTATCTATCTAAAGTGTAGTATCTGTATTGATTCCAAGAATGGATTGACTAAGACTTTGTAACAATGGGGCATTTTTTTTAGAGAGGTATAGTGAAAAACAATTCAATGTCCCCAATATCGCAGATCCGACCCACTGTGAGTCGCAAAGTTAAGATAAATATAGTGTACCTGTCTATCCCCAGTTACGTCAATTTTTAATGTTCTTAAGTGATTTCCAGATCCAGGACGTAAAAAATAATGTCGTAAGGCAGTCTCCATTTTCCGTCTATGTTCCTCGAAGTTTAGGTAAAAAATCTCTACCTATTCCGATCCCTGATCATAGATGTAGCCGAATATAAGAAGAATTTTGTGGCCACCACACTTATTCGGTGCGAGAAAAACATCATATCACGTTTACGGCATACGCAACACACATCTACGCATTGACAAAAGATTTCCTTCCACGTGAAGCCGTAACGCGGTGAAACCTTAACAGTGCCACCACGGACGGACTTAGCCTGATCTTGCTAAGGCCGTTTGGCCGACTACGGCAAAGCTGAAAAGGGGAGTAATGGTTCTCCAAATTGAAAATGAATTCAGTAGCAGTAGAAACAGTGAAGTTTGGCCAGGGAAATACTCCTACCTTACCTATTTCTGCCGCCAAAAAGTATTGTGAGCAGTGAGATGTGTATAGTCAAATTTTAGTTTTTGGTGTGAGCGCTAGAGGTTCTGAACAATTTACTATATTTTACTCGAAAATACAACATGATATTGCGTGGGTTTTCAAGCGTTTATGATAGACACCGAGAGGTGAATCTTAAATTGCACGATTTTTTAACAAATGAATCAATCGCCATGATTGCTCAAACTTACTGAAATGCAAAAAATGAATCGTAGGTATCATTGACTTACAATTATATGGACGTCGGGTCCGCGCTAAAAAGTGTACGAACTTATAGGGCGTTAAAATCGTATACAGAGCGTCATTCACGCTTTAGTCTTCGTTTGTTCGACTGACATCGAAGTAAGCAAAATTAGACAGTACTGCGATGACATTACAATTTAAATTCAACGTTTTAGCTTTTTCATATTCCTTTACATATCACTGGGTTTAAATAGGTTGACTTGGGACATTTTTTTCGTGGTTTTTGTATTAGACCCGTCGTCCATTTATTTGTAAGTCAATGGTAGGTATATACAAATTTTGCAGACCGATTTCACATCACATATCCCTCATATTCACACACTAGCTTTTTCCTATTCATATAGTAATGCATCTAAATTAACACTTGATAAGAAATTTAAAATAAATAGAACGTTTGCCATCCCCTGAATAATCACTCTTTATAAGATACGAGTATGAGAAAGTAAGGCATCGAAATGTCTTTTTGAAATAAAGTATATACTCTCTTAGAGCCTATGTACGGTCAACAGCACATCAGACTACATATTTTTGTTCGAAAATTGCCTCCAGTGCAACGGAACTAGATACGTCAATGTGTAGCTTGATCTGCTGGCGTGGTACACGGAGTATTTGATAAGACATAGTCATATCACATCTTGATAAGAGATAGTTTTAATGTGAGTATTGTTTGTTAATTTTTGAAATGAAGCAACAGTTGCAACGCGATGTTTGCGCACGGTTGAATCGATTCACTACAGCGCGTCGTATGTGCGTAAAAAAGAAAACGACGTGTGCATAGGCTCGTACTGTAAAATGATCTCACTATCCTCTAACGCATTTATTACAGAGCACAGAAAAGAAATTTTATTGAAATACATCTAATAACAATCGAATAGTAGATTTATAATAGTAGATTTGCGTTGTAAACAATGTCAGTAAATAACCGCCCTCAAAAGTCATTCATCCCCTAGTTTGCCACCCTTAAGGGTGGAATATTTTCTTCAAATTTAAATGAAATCTACTGAGATTTTCCAAAAAAAAGTATCATCAAAATCGATTCACAAATAGCCGGAGTTATCGCGTAACATACATACAAAGAAAACGTACAGTCGTATTAAGAACCTCCTCCTTTTTTTGGATTCGGTTATAAAAAAAAATTTGCTGAATTTTGTGTTTTTTTTAAGGAGCATAGGTTAGTCAACCTTGTTTCGGGCCCCCTAATTCGCTTCCGGTATCTCCTGTTTTTATTTTCAATTAAAAACTATGTTGAATTAACGTTTTTTTACATCAAACCCATTACACCATTATAATAACGATTTTTGTTTCTACTAATGTATTGTGACGGCTTCCGTGGTTGAGTGGCTGGCACACCGGTTTTCATGGTGTCGCCATCTTTGAGGTCCCGGGTTCGATTTCCGGCCGGGTCAGTTAAGAAATCTAACTTTTCTATATTGTCTCGGGTATGGGTATTTGTGGTACCGTAGATGTTTCCGATTTCCATAACACAAGTGCTTTAGCTACTTACTTTGGGATCAGAGCAACGTATGTCGTGTTGTCTGATATTTATTTATGTAAATCATGTTTCTAATTGAATCTGTCATAAGAACAAGAACGTTTTTATTTACCTGCAAAAAATTTACTTTTGTGGTAACGAAAAGTTGAAATTTACTTACCATTAACGAAAAGTCCAATTTTTTTTGACGTGTGCCATTGCCAGTTATTACTATGACAATATAACACTAATTAAAGCGTGTATGACGCGTTCAGTACATAATTAACATTAACATCGATTATATTATATTAACATAGATTCTCGATTTCACTATTCGTTTCTTATCACTGCTTCATGCAGCAAACTGCATAAGTATATTTATTTCGAAAGATTGCTACTGACCTAATAAGTAAATTAAAAATAATTACTCTTTACGTCTTTCCTAGTACATTACACTCATTTGGTGAATACGTTTTGTAGCATAAAGATCAGTAGAACGTAAACAAATAACATAACTTGCTACTTATCAATTGTGTTTACAAACTCTCATATCTACGAACAATTCGCTTTCACTTATTATGAACCCTATTTCAAGATGCTAAAGTTTGAATAGTAAAATAAAGCAAATTTACCTCGGTCTCCGAGAAGGCACAAGAAACTTCAACGGACCAGCTGATTTTCTTCTATTTACAACTGGAACCAACAGTAACTCCTCTTCTTCCGTCTCTGACGAACTCTTCAGATTCACTAAAGCCGGCGCTGACATTCTTCTGTCACGCATAGAACTTGGCACTTCTAACATATCACGTATCACCTCACAGTATTTACACCCTTTAGCTTCAGCCATATACGCTTTTGTTATTGCGTACGCATAGTTTTCTAAAAAACACTTATGACATCCCGGCACGTAGTTTGTTTCTAAGTCCGTTGATTCCTCACTTGGTTCCTGCTTCTTTAGTTGTAATTTTTTCTCCATTACCGCTGTGTTGTTTTCTAAGAGCTTCTGTTGTACTTCCTTGTTTTTTCTTTCTTCTTCTTCCAATTTCATTTGACGAATTTCTTTTAAACACTCATCTTGATCATTGTAATATTCAATGCATTTTCGTTCACTTTTGGACGGCCTAGTTGGACTACGTTTTTTCTTTTTATTAGTTATATTTATATTCAAAGGTTCGATTCTTAATGATTTCATTTGTTTAATTATATGCTCTTGGACGTAAGGATGTCCGTACGACGTCACTTCTTCTGTAGCAATGGCAGTTTTGGCACTTGCGTCGTTGTCTTTGTTTCTAATAGCTATTTTGTCTTGTTTACTTGTTTCTTTGATCTCCGGATCGCCGTTCATTTTACGACCGTTTTTTATTGTACTCTTTGCAGACGTGGAATCATCGTCTAGACACGTTTCGTATCCATCAATCTCATGGTCGATGTATAGTAAAGAATGACTTTCTTCGTGGACGGAAATCCTAGTTGTTGTATCGTAACAACTACTTGTTATGTCTGTAGGAGAGTTCAGGCACTCTTTCCAACTTTCTTCACTTTTGACTTTATGAAGATTTTTTTCTTTATTTTCATCCTCTTTCCAATATTTATCAAAACTTATTCTTTCCAAGCCCGTCGGTGTTACAGCGAAGACCATTTCATCTGACGTGGATATATCCTTACTTTGCTGTTTTGATAAACACCTGTTATCATCGCCTTTTCTATCAGCAGACTTGCTTCTTGTGTCAGGGAGTTCTCTAGGAGTTATTAAAACATCATCTTCAGTTATTGTTAAGTCATCTTGCTCCAGGGATTCGTCAGATTTCGAGGATTTCAATATAGTTCCATTGATTTTCTCCTTTTCGGTTTTTTTCTTACCTTTTACCTGTTCATTTATTTGATTTTTAAGATGACATTCATCAAAACTAAGGTCGGCTAAGGCAGAGAGCTCCTCGTCTTTAATCGAAGAGTCTTCAGGTTCGCAGCATATTTGGACTACTTCCAATCCTTCTCCATACTCTTGAAGGCACTCGTGAAAGGAATCCATGCCGGTTTGGTCATCTGATGCCAAGGAGTTTATGTATTCCTGGAGCAAAAGATTTTAATTCATAAATAAATCTCGATTTTGAGAAAAAGCGACACTAATTTAGAAATAAAAAAGTCTGGGATATAATAATCTCAGCTAAAGATTATTTTCATGAAACTACAGCAACAAGTATGAAAAACTGTCTAAGCTTCCTAGGGCGTTATCAATTATGATATACGTAATTATGGTGTTTCTTGTTATTTTACGATGATGAAGATATTTGACGATGTTGATTAGGGGACTCACTCAAATCATTTAATATAGAACAGTTGATATATTGTATGTGAGATAGTCCACATACTATAAGATATTCGTATTGATGAGTAGACAATCTCACAATGTAAATAATAAAAAAATTCATCATAATATATTGTCTGTTACCTTATATTATCATATATTTTAGAAAGTGGTTCATTACATTAGTGGAGAAGCATTACAGTCACTGCGAGATGTATGACGCAATGTTATAGTTATATTTTTAAAGTTAAGTAACTTAAATTTAGGTAGTGACGCAAAGGTGGGAGTGGAGATAGGATAATTAAAAAAGGAGATGTGTCGTTATCCGTATTCATAATGTACGTACTTACGTACTAGTCAATGAAAAGAAAAATATATAATTTGACAACGTTTATTCACAATACACATAACAAAGCATTTATATGGAACATTTAATACAGATTCGCTTAAAGCATTACAACTAACATTACTTTTGATATATACATATATTAATAACACCACTAATAAAACTGATCGTCTAAGTTAGTTACTTTAAATAGAGAGCGACGGGAGAACAGTGTTTCTGCCAAACTATGTTATTCTGCTATTCCGATTCCATTCTATACGGATAGCGTACGGACGCGAAAAGAGAAACATTTTCTCTTTGAATGTGTAAAATAATGATCCATTAGGCTTACAAATAAAGGTGAATTAAAAACAAACATGCCAAGGAGTGTACTTCTACCACTCGATTACTAAACCTAAGTTCATAAGTAGTGGTCGTTCAAATCGGTACTAAATAACTAACTTATCCGGTCAATTTTACAACCTAAAGGTAAATTATTCCTAAAAATATTCACAATATGGCAAATGGCACATTGTTCAATAGAGGGCACATTGTAAAGTAGCTGACAAAGTATCTAAGGTACCTAAGTGTGCTGTGTGTGTGGTCGAACGGTTACCATGCTGGATCCAGTCAAATCTCATTTATTCGCTATAGATATTGTAAGCACAGTATAAATGTTGGTGTTAAAATTAAATTGATGAAGTTATCATATTTAGCCTTGGCAAAAGCATTTAAATATAATAATAATAGTAGATTGTACAACAAGTGCATAAAACGCGTCATTTTACCCGATACGAGTATATCCACCCGAGCCGCAGGCGAGAGTTGATATACTCGTGAGAGAGGATACTTAAGTCGAGGGTAAGATGGGTTTTATGAACGAGCTATACACTCTGCTTTTCACTTCGATTGCGAGGAAATTAAACATCAATATTACAAATAAACGATTATTTAATTAAAATTGAATGTAAAATTACGACAATCCCGCCAATGTACTACTTTTTTTCTACACGTGACTCAGGTCGGACTACATAATGCTCAGTTATATTTTACAAGCTTTTATTTTTTATGCATTTCTATTTCTTATAACTTATTAGAATTACTATAGCCTACTTTTTTAATTTTGTAATATAACACGCATTAAAAAATAAAAATAAAACTGTTTATAAAGTTCTAGTGTGTGTGGCTGTTGGCGCAGGCGTCATTGCCTCGGTCTTAAACGACGATTTCATTTTATGCACTAGAGCATAAAATCCTATTTTATGCAGCCTAAACCCAGCATAAATACGAACTTTAAGAGCATGCGAAGTGAAAAATACATTAAAATATAATTTCATTAATACATTAGATAAACTAAATCAAGAATAATTATGCATCGATACGGATCAGTCTTTAAATTTGAAAAAATCGTCCACCGAATAAAATTATTTTTCTAAGAGCCATTTGCGCAGTTCTTTTTTGAAACTGATCAAAGGAAGACATTTAATATGAAAAGGTAGCTTATTAAAGAAAACCACACATTCCATAACAGTTGTTTTTGAAGCATTTAGTCTTAGGAGTTGTGTCTAGTACTACTTTATCAGGGTTTCTTTAGCTTCTAGCAGTCATACCTTTAGCGAGTATAAATTTATGTTGATTCGTCTTTACAAGTATACTTTCGAGTATGTATAAACAGGGGAGAGTTAATATTTTTAACGTTTTAAAATAAGGGCGTCATGACACATCTGGTGCTAAGTTGCAGGTAGCTCGTATACACATCTTTTGAGCAATGAAAGCTTTCTCAAACTCTGTACCATTCCCCCAAATAATAAGGCCGTATCTCGATTCTGCAAAATCAAATCTATTTATTTAATGTACACTTTCTCTGTTTGTTGTTTCAGCTTATAATCTACAATTAATCCTAGAAATGTCACATCTGTGGCGTTCTGCAAAACTTATCCGTTATAATTCATAGTAACTATTTGATTCCGTAAATTAGTAAAATTCATTAGGTACATTATTACTCTTGGATAACTTTATTTGAAGATTATTTTTTGTAGCCATTCAATTAACAATATCAAAGAAAGATATTTGTATGGCCTACGTTTATTTCTCTAGTGAGTTTGGGTGTAATGTGTGGTTGTCACTCATAGGAATGTGTGTGCGTTGTTGTTTTGTTGTTTGTTATTGACAAGGTTTGGTTGTCACTTGACAGCAGACATTCACATTTTGACGGTTGACATCACTTACACCGGAACGCCCGCACTGCATCGCACATTAGATTTTATTTATTAGCACTCTGGCTCATGTGGATCTTTATGATCCAGGAGGACACATTCCGTTTAGTATGGATGTGGTACTGATGTGAGCTGACAAGTGGAGTTCAACCCTCCCACTTCACTCATCCTATAATCACGTTTACTCACACTCAAAAGCAGGTCTACTTACATAAACTGTCACTCGTGTAATTCAATTTAATACGCTAGGTAAATGACTTATGATAACATTTTTAGCAAAGTATTTTATAGTACACCTCCTGTTCTAATTTTCCATAGTCATCCAAAAATGTTATTATTAATTTTATTTCTTAATTTTAAATCATCAATTTGTACCGACGCGACGTGGTGTATACGTTGACGATTTATTATAAAGACTTAAGAGTCTGTGCAACATCATATAGCTTTGTTTGATTTCGCATAATAGTAAAAGCGTTGAATTAATCATTTTGGAAAAAATATATAGTCAAATTGAGCACTGTGAATACACGATTCCTAAAAAGTTTCATGGCGGAAAATGAACACAAAATATCTATTGAACACTGCGGTTTCCAAGAAAACCGCAGTGTTCAATAGATATTTTACATATACCAATTTTTTTTTTTATGAACTGAACTAAACCGAATACGTATTCTATACGATATACATTTTCAAATGGCTGTAATTTCGTTTGTAAAAAAATCTAAAGTGAAGCCTGTGTCCCTGCCGTTTGACCGAAGCAAAATGAACCGTATTTTAAATTCGAGAAGAGGTAGGGTTTTTATACTGTTATGAATTTCTCGTCACGTGGAGAGCTCGAGTGTAATTTTTAACAAATAATCAAAATGTTTGAAGGCATATACCTTATATATTTATTCATATATATGCATATATATGTATAATCAACAATTTTCAAAAGCATTGCAAACATTAAACTTTAGCTGTGATTAAAAATGCGTACAGGCACTATAGTCGAAAACCTAATACATAATGGCGTATTGATGAACTACTAAAGGTCACCTCACATTAGACATTATTTTCATTATTAAGCACTCAAGTGCATCAACGTGTTCTGTAGTGACGCTTGTAATTTATTAAGAATTTGAACGGTTTCACAAAAAAGCATTTTTAGTGTATCTTTCAAATCGACTGATAAATCCGACACTGATGAACTCGCACAACCAGTCCACTTAAGACCACTAGTACTATTATTATCATTAA